ATACTCATCCAAAAGCTAGCGCAGAAATTGAACAGAGAGAAAAATCGACGATGTCCTTGATGGTAAGCCAAAAGAGCGAAGAAAGAGAGAGTAATATGTCCGATGAAAGAGATGGAGAGAGAGAGACATCTTCATTAGAGAATGAAAAAATGATGAACAAGAGGTGCATTTGGTGGTAGACAAAGTGTTATTTGGTAGGAGTAAAGGGAGGGGCATTTTTGTCTATTTGCTGCATTTATTTCTTAAAAAGCACACATTTCAGGAAAATTAAATTCTTAAAAAAAATTAGATTTTGATGCCATAAATTCAAAATTCTCAAAGTAAATAACCTCAATTACTCTGGAAAGGGTGAAATCAAAAGCACGGAAACCATGGATTTTCTAAACATTAACGAGCATTATTTGAATATGGATAAGGAAGTTACCATTTTATCCAAGTCTTCTGGTGATAAAGATGACATGGCTTGCTGAGCCTTTGCAGCATCTTCTTTAGAAAGCTTCAATCCAAATTGTTCACTCATGTTTGCCATCATTTCTGGGCTCATATTCTTCATCATTGACGTGAACATCTGCCCAAATTGCAAGCATAATCAAATAAATACAAAGTAATGCAAAACTACAATTTTGCTGGATAGTGCCCACTGGCATCAAAAACCAACAAAAAAAGATAGAAGTATAGGAACCAAACATACTGGCAACATTGCTGGATCTTTCATTTGGTTTCTTAACTGTTCTTGTAAGTTAGTGGTTGAAGTAGGGAAGTTTGATTTTGGAGCACTTCTAGAGTTCACAAATGAACTACCAGATGAACTAGTCTCACCCACAACATTATCTTCATTCATAGCACCACTTGCACTAGGTTCGGACAAATTTGAAACATTATACGAGGCCTGTCTAGTATCATTTGCAGTTGATGATGAAGGGACTGATGTTGTTGACTTTAAAGAGGATGCCATTTCAAACATCTTCTGGAGCTCATTTGGCGACATCATATTCATCATATCAGATGCTGCTTTAAGCATGTCAGGTGTCACGTTTGAAGGAATAGATCCAGGTCGATAGCCATTTTCTACAGGCCCCCCTCTTTGATACTGGTTCTCTCCTTGAACTGAGGAAGCTATCCGGAGCATTTTCTGAAGTTCATCAGGTGACATTTTGCTTATCATACTGGAGGCAGCCTTGAACATGTCAGGAGATATCTCTCCAGCTTTTTCACCACTCATAGTAGCCAGTGTGTTAGGATCAGCATTAGACATGAAATTCTGGAATGATCTGCATCTCAAAAAACCCCAAAGAGAAAAGAATATAAGGAAAAAGAAAAGGTTAGTAGTTAGATCTGAAAACCAAATTAAGCATAGAGACAATCACAGGAAAAATTAACTCTTCAATTTAAGCACTGAACTCCTTGCTGCAAAAATTGTTATCTACTAGTTTTACTAACACCATAAGGCAGTCCAGCAGTAAATGGGAAGTCAACAAAAACCGAATATATATGTGCTCACAGCCAAAATTCTAGCACATGACATTCACGTGATATTATATGCATATTTGGGTAATTCTGGCACATGATATTCGAATAACAATCATGTCTGTATTAGGATAATTTATCTATTCCAAATGTAAAATTAACAATTTAATTCTCTTTAATTACCATTCTTAGAAACAAAATAATAAGGTGAAATACTTCCCAAGACCCAGTCAAGAAGCAACATAGAAAGCCATAGAGAAGAAGTAGATTAGAGAAGGAAATGATACAAACATGAGGATAAGAACTCCTAAAAGACCTCCTGGAAAAGGAGAATCAGAAAACCATAACAAAAATAAAAACAAATAAAAATAGCAAATAGCTTTCTAATTCCTAAATAATAGTAAAAATAAAATTCTTCTTTATCCCAAGTTCTTATTTCATTTCTAACCATTAAGGAGAGCAAGGAGATCTTGGTTTCTCCTCCTAGTTGTACATTCCACAGGCATAATGGATCCATTCGAACAGATCCAAGGTGGACGCAAGGGTGCGTTTGGGTCTTGTCATATTTCAAGATATGTTTTCAGTTAATCTAACAATAAGCAGGATTCAAGTCATCATAATAGTGGTAAGAAACCTTAGAATTTTTAGGAGCTACAACTACGAGAATTGTGAGAATAAGAAAAAGAATAAGAATAATACATATAGGAAATAACTATAAATACAACAAGAAGAATGAAACTATGACTAGACAGTTAAAATGGAGTTAGAGCTAGTACCGACGTATATGAAACGTAAAGAAAAAATGAAGAGAAAAAATATCAGACCTGATCGCTTCTGAATCATCTTTGAGAGCGTGCAAACTCTCTGAATTGGTTGTCACACCCTCATTACCATTCCCACCCTTATTCTTAGAGAAGCCTGTGCTTTCATCCACTTGTCTTGGTGAGGATTCTCTGAATGAGTTTCTATCATTTCCAGATGATACAGCCTCGACCTCTTCAGTTATTTCTTCAATAACCAAACCTATCAAACATGCACAGCATAAAGCACTATGAAAATAAAAGTACACGATATATAACATGCAACTAAACATGGAAAACAAATCCATCAAGGAAAATAACGGACCACCTGGCCTGCGGTGACTGCCTTCTTCAGCCAATCTTTCCTCAGCATCCCTGTATCAGCAATTACACATCATCACCGGCATATCATCTCTTTATTCGTAAGAGACATTCTAATAAACTAACAAAAAACATCTTTATTTAAATAAAAAGTAACAAAAAACATCAAAACTGATTTATGGAGGGTTTACTTATTTGAAATAGATTTATGGGGAGTTCCTGAGTCTGGCAAAAACTAAAGAATAAGCTAAATTTGGTAGAGGAAAAGGTAATCAGAAGATGATAAGCCTTAGGAGGATTTTTTTTTTTTGTTAAGAAAAGAAACTTCCTATGGATGTGGAAACTTAGAATTCATGCTACAACATTTGCATCTATGCATGAAATAATTACTTGTATGATAAAAGTGAAGCTACAGCATTCTATCAAAGTTTCCAATGTTACCAAGTTTGAAGTCAGACATATTCATACCTCAAGACCAGTGTAATTGTTTCATCGTCAGGGGAAATATCGTGAGCCTTGCTTAAGTCGGAGACAGCACACTTGAAATTACAAAAAAGTTCACACAGGTTAGGAGATAATTATATAACAGTAAATTGTTTTGTACATGAAACTCAGAAACCACCAGTTGAAAACGAAAATGTATACATAGAAACTCACTTCTAATTGGCCTAGTGCTTTATATGCTTGACCCCTCCGGTATAGAGCTTTCACATTCTTTACATCATATGCCAAAACCTGAATAACAAGCATATGTTATTTAAATTCTTAATCAGAACGAAGACATGCACAATTGTCAGAATACACATTGCATTGATGTTATTCATCAAGGATTATATCTTCAGAAATAAAGAAGCAAAAGAATTCATGTTCCCTGTTCCCTCTCCCTACTCAACAAAATACACCAAATTGTCCATTGTGTTTGTTCCATATTCAATTTTCTTGTACAGATAAGTCTTACTTTGATGATATATTGGAAAAATGACATTTCATACCTCAGAGCCTTCTTTTATGCACGCATCATACTGTTTTGTTTTCAAGTAACAGGACATCAAATTAAGCGAGCATGCCTTTAAAACTGTACTGCCTTTGGAGGATGGAATTTTCTCAACATTTTTCTTTGCCTAAGATCAAAGCAAAAATGAATTGTCATTAACACTAGGAGACTTGTAAATCAGTTCAGAGTATTTCCGGTAATGAAAGCTGATATGGATATAAATGCTGCCTCACTTGCAAATATTTCTGTGAGGCCTCATTAAACTTCCCCTGGCTGTGAAGTTCATTCCCCTGCCAAGTATTAAAGGACATATGAAAACATGGTAGAAACAGATATATTTTATAGAGAAACATGAAAATATTGGGACATAAAACATAGCAGCTTATTCCCCTCTCTCACGCACAGCAGTGAACCTCTTGGTTCAGACCCCTTACTTCTTTCATTACATGAAAAAATATTCATGCTGCCGAAGGACAACAAAACATTTATTTTTCAAAATTTTTACACTGTCCATATAGTTTCCAATTAAATTTCATTGCACAAAACAATGAAAACTTAAAGTGGGAATGGTCACCCCTTAAATATACATAACAAATGTCACCACGTCACATCCACCACCTCTCTCTTACTGTATCAAATTTTCATCCTTACCTCAAATTGTGTGTTTAACATTCTAGTGGTGCAGGGTTACCCCTTTAGAATGAAGAGCATAATGGGGCATTTTATATCTCAGTTGCAAGTTCATGTAATATATCATAAGCTGGATTTATTAATATATATAATGTAAGACAAATAGGATGATTTGTCCAATTAAGATTTAGGGATAAAGAATCCAGACATCACACCTAGGGTTTCTTAGACATCACATTTAAGAAGTCTTAAGCATCACACTTAAGATTTTGATTGCATCACAACCAGAAAAATAAGAAACTCCTAAAAATATTATTAAATAATTGAATAATCAATAAGTGAAATTGCAAAGTATTTATTTTCTTTTTTTTGAAATAAGTGAAATTGCAAAGCATTTATAATAACCTCCAAATAACTTTTTTCCAACTAGAATTAAGCTAATAAATAATAAACTAGTAGAATTAGAAATACTAATCCAAATAAGAATAAGAAACTAATACTAATACACTAGAATTGTAACAGCCCATCATCCAAAGTAGAGTTAGGCATGGACATGGTCACACCAATGAAAGAGACTTTGTTACTTTCATCAAATAGCAATGTGTTTCTCATTTAATTCCTTTAAGTGGTATGCTTAGCCCCTTCTTCCCTGCTTTATTTTTGGTTTCGTACTTAGTGTCTTTTCCCTTCAGAGAATTAGTTATCCTCCCAGCGAGTGTTTTCTTTTCTTTACTAACAGTTCATATAGCTTCTTTGCTTATCAAAAACAAAATTTGTTTTTGTTTAAGCACTTAGCACATAAATATCCCTTCTTGTTAATAAAATTTTTATCTCTAGTACAATCTTTCAGCAATATTTCATTATTGTCAGATCATTTTTTTCCTGAAAGAAATGAACAAGGAAGAAGCCTCCTTGAATGAAATTGCATGCCTAACACTTGGTCTTTGTAAGTGCTTTTTCAAGGATAACAATTTCTTTCCTCTTCTCTTCATCTGAATTGCAAAGCAAGTTATGCTTTGGAAAGACAAACTACTTGTTATGACATTTTATGCTTATAGTTACCTGTTTTTTCAGCATCTCAGCCGCATTTATTTCATAACTGATCTGTGCATCAACACGGGATCGCATAGAAGCTATCTCTTCAGGTGAAGCTTGGGCCATTTTCTCACCAATCTCAGCCATCTCCTCGGGACGTGTATGCTTTAACTGTTCTGCAGCATGTCTCAAGTCTTCGGGCCTCATGTTCTTCATGCTTTCAGTAGCCATTTTCATCAACTCAGGGTTCGTCATCATCTACAATGCCAAGGTAGCATGACTAATCGCAGTCAGAAACTAGATGGTAGTCTTTTAGCAAACAAGCAATTAACAGAAACAACTGAGAAATTAAACGCATAGTTGCAAGCATACTTGTTAACCATTAATCACTTAACAAACCTATGCTTCAAGACTATTTTCCCAATTTCTGTTGCCTTTTTGAAGTTAAAAATAGTAATCTCAATCATTATATTAAAGGGGTTTTAGAGGTCTAATCAGTCCCATCAATCCATTTCAGGCAAATCCCGCAAATTAACCCAATCAACAAAACCTTCTTGCAACCTTCAATTTTCAATCTCAATCAGAATAAAACAGTAAAACCCAGCCCTCTATATGCATGTGTCCTCATTCCAATATAAACAAAGAGAAATTGGAATTCAATCAAAACCATCGACGCCCTCGATTCTAAGCAGAAAACATCAAATTACTCCGAACCAAACCCCTCATCGGTAAAATTTCCAGTCAATTGCACACGGATTTTCAAATCAAAACCTTACAAAGCAACAAAAAACAATGAGAGAGCGACCTGTTGTTGGATCCTGGCAAAGTCATCAGGCGACATGCGACTCATTTGCTCCTGAGCGAGCCTCATCAACTCGGGATCCATCATTCCGTTAAACATTCTCGACAACAACTACAACTTTTCTCCAATCAAAACGCGATTAAACCAAAAAAAGACAATCGAACTTTCCCAGAACCCGTATAGAAGAAAGTAGCAAACGAGAGCGAAGTGAAATCACAATTTTACAGAGAATTCAGATTCCAAATGAGTGTCGAATGAAAATTCAAATCCGAACAACAGCAACAACAACAACTACTCCTCTTGTTCGTATTAAATCTCTGGTGTTGTTTATGGATGGGAAAGGTGGTAGCCAGCCCACCAAACCTAAATAAGGAGAAGAAAGACCCACGAAGAATGGAATATGCCAAGCTTCAGTGAAATTTTACTTGGATGCCCCTTATAAAAGTTTGCTTCTTTGAATTGGATTCCCATTCAATTTGGGGGATTGTCGGGGTCCGTCAACTCCTTCCATGAATATTAATGGCAGCGTTTGGTCATGTTCAGTCAAATAGAGCTGGAAGTTAATTCAGATCCGGAATAAAATAATTCCAGTTCAAGATACATCAATTTCTTTCTATGTTTAATAAAATAATTTTTTAAAATAAAAATATTTTTTAATTATAGATAAAATATATTGTAGTCAAATAAAAATTATTTTTTAGAAAATAATAATAATAAAATTGTAATTTTTAGGATTTATATTTATAAGAAATGTTTATGAATAAATTCAAGCATTATAATATGATAATATTAATAATAATTATTATATATTATAATTATTTATTTTATTTTTTAAATAAAATATATTTTAATTTACTACAAATTATGTATTATATAATTTTTAAATATAAAAATAATTTCAATAATATATGTAATAATGATTTATTTAAAATTTTAAATAATTATAACGTATACAATATTATACTTTCTGTTTAAAATTAACACTGTGTCCAAACATCAAGCCTACATAATCTACCGGCATGATTGGGTATTTTGCAATCCAGCCCTGCAAAATACGGCTTATTGCAGAAAAACCCCAGCAGACACCAAAACCCCAAATCTACGAATACCATTAACCCTTTTCTTCTTGCACGCTTTACTGCTTTCAATACTGCATGTTCTTTTTTTGATTCAATAACCAGACGTTTCAATTGCCAACCTTGTCTTTCTCGGAGATTTATGGGTGTAAGACTTTGTTTGTTCGTTTGTTTGTATTGTTTTTTTCCGTTCGACTGATCTGAGATATAGTATTTGTTGCTCAATTTGTTGTTGTAAGTAGAATTGTATTTAAATTATGGGGAATAGAGGTGATTTTGATGCGAGAAAGATTAGAAATATATGTATATTAGCACACGTTGACCATGGCAAGACCACGCTTGCTGATCATCTTATTGCCGCCTCTGGCGGCGGTGTACTTCACCCCGAAACTAGCTGGTAGACTTAGGTTTATGGATTATTTGGATGAAGAACAAAGGAGGGCTATTACAATGAAGAGCTCTTCAATAGCTCTGCGTTATGAGGATTATTCAGTTAACCTCATAGACTCTCCTGGTCACATGGATTTTTGTAGCGAGGTATCTACTGCTGCTCGGCTGAGTGATGGTGCATTGGTTTTGGTTGATGCTGTTGAGGGTGTTCATATTCAGACCCACGCTGTTTTGCGCCAAGCTTGGATTGAGAAGCTGACGCCATGTTTAGTGCTTAATAAGATTGATAGGTTGATTTCTGAGTTGAAGTTGAGTCCTATGGAAGCACATACTCGGTTGTTGAGAATTGTTCATGAGGTTAATGGGATTGTGAGCGCTTATCAGTCTGAGAAGTACTTGTCAGATGTTGATTCTTTACTTGCTGGTCCTTCAGGAGATGTGGGTGATGAGAATCTTGATTTCTTAGAGGACGAGGAAGATACATTTCAACCGCAGAAGGGAAATGTTGCTTTTGTGTGTGCATTGGATGGCTGGGGTTTTGGGATTGATGAGTTTGCCGAATTTTATGCGGCCAAGCTTGGTGCGAGTGTAGCTGCATTACGGAAGGCGCTGTGGGGTCCCCAGTATTATAATCCAAAAACTAAGATGATTATGGGGAAGAAGGGATTAGCT